ATCAAGTCTTCTTCTATTTAATGGAGGTTTGGGAAACTCGGATTAGAGTAGCATGTCGTGTCGCCAGATCATCGATCCTCTCTCTCGTTCACCGAACTCATGAACTCGTAATAGTTCAACAATATCAAATGACGTGGTGACGCTCATTCGTAACATTCTATATCAGAGATAATAACACATCTCACTTTAGAGTGACATACCAATATAAATCGAATAATATTTTTGTGATTTAGATGAACACTCAGAGACTGTGATTCATCAATTTAAAAGTAATGACCATAATTGTATTCATCAGGTAAAACACCTATCAAGATTTGCTTAAGTGAAATCATTAAAAATCTGAATCAGACTTAGTGATCTAGAGGTAAACGTGATCATCACTCACAAAGCATGATATTTATTTAGTTCTGTGGTTAAATTTTATTGAAAAATTAGCAGAAATGGATTGTAGCTACCAGTGTAATACAGAACGAGTGTTTTATCTTATTTAGGACAACTCAACTGAATGTACGCGAGTCCCAGAGTTGATATTTACTCTGAAACTCGAGACCAATATCTCTCGATTCAAATTCCATCGTGTTATTCACTTAACTACTGAGTCCAGATAGTCAATGAAAAGATTCAAACAACCAATACACATAAATTACACTTCACTTTAGTTCATTTATGAATATCCATACGACATTTAAAAAAGATTATCTCAATTCTAAATCATACTAAATTTATTTTCGTTGTTAAAAGAATTCAATCACTATGATGTGATGTAATCTTTTGCCTACTCTGGGTTGCAATGCAATGATAATACCACCTATTTCAAATATACCGGCCTAGTTTTTGTGCTTGTTTAAATTCACTAGCAGGTTATTTTGAAAATAGTTTCCTACTTTTTCGAAATTTGGTATCTTCATGTTGTCGGTCTCACTGAATAGGAATCGACTATTCTTAACCCATAAATAAGTAAATTATACTAAACAACTGGTTTGTTAACTAGAATAATTTATCTAAATGATTAATATTAAAACTAATGTATGCAAATCAACCATTTTACAACCAAGTCCTGATTTTTTTTCACACAAAATCAAAAAAATATTTCAGAAATTATGTATTCAAAATGTCAGTTTATTTACAAACAGAAAAACATTTAACTTGATGGTAATAAACACAATGTTTAACCATTATCGTGATTTATAAATTAGTATATATAACCTAAAAGTCATCCAGTTGTAATAACTATGAATAATAACTTAACCCTGTATCCTTTTTAATACATAGAAAGTTATCAATAAGCCATCCAATAGATCGAAATAAAATATGTGGAGATGAGTTCATTTGAAAAAATCGACAGTCCATACATAACACATTTTTACTGAATGTATACAGATTCAAGTTAGTTTCCAGAGTAGTTTCAGATCAATCAATTAGAACAGTAACTGACGTCTTCAAAATGACGATTTCAATATTTTCCATGAGATTGACAGAATCAAGAAAACATATTCTAGATTGCCTCCAGAGATATTATTTGATTACTTTTTCAGAAAGAATAACGAGGAGAATTACTAGTAACAGTTCTACCGTATGGGGCGGAAACTTGGAAAACTACCAGAGCCATCATCCAAAAGATGCATGTGTTTATTAACAATTTTCTACACAAAATACTTCAGATCTGTTGGCCAGACACGATCAGCAGCAACCTACTGTGAAAGAAAGAGAGAGAGCAAACCAGATTCCAGTCAAGGAGAAAAAATTAGGAAGAAGCGCTGGAAGTGGATAGGACATATATTGAAGAAATCACCAAACTGCGTCACAAGACAAGCCCTGAATTGGGACGCTCAAGGTAAAAGGAAAAGAGGAAGGCCAAGGAACACATTACGTTGAGAAATAGAGACAGACATGAGAAGAATGGACAGCCATTGAACAGAACTGGAAAAGAAGGCTCAGGACATAGTTCGTTGGAGAATGCTTGTCAGCGGCCTATGCTTCATTGAGGGGTAACAGGCGTAAGTAAGAAAGTAGGTGTGCATTTCGTGAAGATCCATTATTAATAATGTTTGATGTGGATGCGAGTTAGATCGTGACAGGACTTCTCACATGTAACCTTAGGAAATTGGGCTAGTTGCACCATTTTATTGAGTAGCATATTGTGTCTAATACTTGAGAGCTGCGTCGACTGTGGCTGGATGTTCGTTTTGTGTAGTGTTTAAACTACCATATTTGCTTTTTTATGTCTGAGATTCAGATTTGCGGTTGAAGACCGAAGCGCGTGTTATTCCTCTTCAGTAAGCTTCTGAGTATCTGGTCTTCTCTTGAATGATTAGATGCTGACGCAATGCAGAATCGGCTCTTGACGATATTCGGGATTACATCTACATATGGTTTAAGAAGTAAAGGACATAGAACACAGAGCTTTGCAGTATCACACTAAGTACTGGCGTCCAGGGTCAGCATTCAGAATTTATTACTACTTATTGCCTTTGATCCGCTTACGAAGATGTATGAAATTCTTGTTTATGACTTTATTACTTACTGGTAGTCAGGATTCATCTCTTTTTCCTTGAAGCTAATTGGTTGAGATAATTATCGACAAATTAACTACGTTCTTATAGGTTGGAACATGTTAGTCATAAACAGCCAGTTTGAACATATTTTTCTCACGTTGGATTGTTTTAAAAAGAATGTTGTTGCTATCACCCTGAATGCAGGATTTGATGTAACTTATTACAATTTATTGCAGAACCACACTTATACTATTAATGTACGATAAATATAAGTATTTCCGAGTTACCAAGACAGTTCTATAACACAAATAGACCTCGGTTGCTTTATTCAGGTCAATTCAACTGCAATTCAGGCGAATCTAACAAGTGATGTAGCGATTCATTGGTTTTCCAGCCTTAAGAAAAGTCTTAATCGGCAACTTATCAAACCATTCGCCAAAGTTCACGTAGGCATCCACTAGTTTTCGATTATCCAGCGATTCTTTCCATCTCTTTCTTGCTATAAGCAGGTTTGTTGTGCATGATAATCCTTTAGAGAGAAGAAAGATCATGAGGAATTCTACAGATTAGAATTTGCAAGAACACAAAGAACTGATACATCTGAGCCACTGCAAACGACTTTGTGCCACGTTATTCAAGGTCTCCAACCATCAGTTACTATTGTCTCGTGAAACTCAACGATGTAGTGTATACCGACTAACATGTCTTAGTGCGCTTGTCAGTGACTTCATGGATTTATGCCATGTTTTGGTTTGGCCGCCCCTAGATTTCTTCCAGCCTATCCCTTCTCAAGGTATCATCGCTCGCCAAGGTACTCGGTGGTTTGGCATTCGTAACACCTGTTCCAACCACCACAACTGATGAAGCTTCACTACTTCATCAATGCATCTGGCATCCTTATCTACTACAGTTTTTCTAACACCAGCGTTGCTTACTCCAATGTCTCAGAATATACGAACAATGCTTCGAATTCGCCTACGATCTAATAACTTCACACAACCGAAACATCAAGCTTAGAGAATGAAACACCACCCCGCTCGCTAACATGTATCAAGTCTTATTATAGAAATATTATCTTGACATGGTAAAGAACTAATGTTTTCATTTCGAGTACAAGAGTCAAACGTTTATCCGAAAAATGCACCAGAACAGACTTGTGCTTCGAATTCCCGGAACTCTTGAATAAAGATGCTTGCGAGCACTGTAAGATGACTGACCGTAAGATAGTCATCCACGACTCGCAAAGAATCATGTCGCTGAGAATTGTTGTTCATTAGCATTCTGCTCTGGAAGCGAACCGCGCAACATATAATAAATAGGGTTTTAGAGCACACTAAGCATTTGAGTTATACACTTAACAGCACTTTCCGTAGTATCCGGTTAATATGTGCTTCTTGGGATACTGGTGCGATGACATCATTGTTTTCCGACTTCTGTTTCGCAAGTGATCTAAAGAACATCAGCCTGACCAAAATTTGTTGCAACGAGATTCGCCATTCATCTCAGCTTATAACGATGCCAGAAATGACGCATATTTCTCTACTAACGCACGGGTCTAATTGGTTGACAAGATGAATAGCGCGAACGTGTGATACAGCATCACCCAGATATCTTCGACAAAATCGATAATTTTGACTGATGACTTTCCGTATATAGACGCATAACTTCATCTGATCCTTTAGATTAAACGTTGAGTTCGCACAAAACGTCATTAACGAAGTAATTCTTTAGTAGATCATTGGAAAAATACTCAATCAAATATCTAGTCTACATTTACAGGGCAGTTAAGCTTTATTAATTACCTTAAATAACGGAGAAGCACAATATTGAGTGCTTTCCAAAATAACAAGTCGGAAGCCTAACAACCTGCATCAGATTTTCATCCAATAAATAATCTCACTCTTGTTGATAATATGAAGTGTTAAAAAGATCTCTGTGTAATTGTGTTGTTATTTGACATGAGTTGAACTCAGTTTCTGCTAAGCATTTAGAGATAAAGTATCACTGAATTGTATTATCACGAAAATTCAGAGTACACAAAAACATGCACGATTTTAACTTGAAGACAGTTATGGTTGTTTAATTAGTCCGACCACCATCTTAAAAGCATTTATTGGAAAGGTGGTAAAGCAGTATCATACGAAATGGATCTCTGCTGACATTTGGAATCGTCATTAATTAAGCTCGTTATTCATTGCATATTCAAATTGAACATTACCTTCGAGGTAAACATAAGCATTACCAAGTTAATATACTTCAATGTGAGTAGATCGTATTTTATCTACAAAATCATCTTCAAACAGTTAAGTATTATGATTATGTACTTCTAAATCGTCATCGGAAGAGGAAATTCTTTTTCTTTTAATCAAATTTTAAATTAAACATATTCGTCAATATTTGAACTAATAGTGTAACAGAAATAAGACGTCCAGTATTTACAAGACATTGTTTATGAAAATTATATTTCAAATAATCTCAGCGATTGAAATGTAAATAATTCCAATGTTTCGTTTAGCAAACTTATCCTGAGCTCTTCAGAGAAATAATTAAAATTATCAAATAATATATACATATATACGTATGCACAGCTTAATGTTTTCAGCTTGTGATCAAATAAGGTAAATTATTCGTACAAAAAGAAGAGTGTAGAACATAGGAAAGAATGCAGTGAATAAAAAATCAATATAATTAAGATAGTAATATTAATCAGGGAAATAAGAAAAATACATAATTCATTATTGACATTATTTACAAGAAACAACATATTTATAAAGAATGCAATTGTTTGTTTTACTAAGATAGAAAGAAACACAACTCAATTCAATATTGGTTACATTATTCTTAATCAGCCAAGATATCTCCTGATGAAAACTAGCACGTACGATATACGTATAAGTATAAACAAAAACTAAGGGGATCAAGCTGAAAACGTCAAGTGACAATCCTGATCATGGATAGTACACATTATCCTATTATCTACATACGGTATGCACATAGCAAACTGAATGTGCATTCAGTGTAATTATGAAGGAGGATTAATCAATAAAGTTTCATGAACAAAGAATACCAACACATATTATATACAACTATACACTATATGGTTCAACGTGTAGAACAAAGAAATTCTCTTATTTCAATTCAGTTTTACATAAATCTTCTAAGCTACAACGAAGTTTCTGTGCTAATCGACTGGTTGATGAAGCTGCTTCTAAGATTTCTTGTAACGCTGATGAAGCTGGGAACAATGTGGATGATGATGATTTTCGAAAGCCCTTCGACTGCTGCCTCGAATAATCATAACGTCTTCCTTCCTATAAATAAATTTTTCGAAGAAAGAAATAATCAACAATTATGGACAAATTCCCAAACAAAACAAATCATAATGAAATGAAATTCTTCTCTCGCCTTATAATTTAAATCATTTTATTGAACAATATACATTAATCTCAAGAACAGATAAATTAATCATTGTGTCCCAAATCATATCTCATTTCATAAACTCCATAAGAGTTCAGTTAATTTAGTTTTCAAACAAGGGACATGCTCTTTGGAAAAACAGAAATTAAAGTTCGATTTATAAACAACATTTCCATATTTCGAAATTCTTTCATATCAAAAACATTTCTTGACCTTAATTTAGGTGAACAACTTTTGCTGTCATTCTCGACAATATCATCACAATAAATCGTAGCTATTCCATGAGTGTAAAATCAGTTAATTCTGTTGCTCCTGTTTCACAACTAACTAAATGCTTTCGGTTGTCGTCATCATCATATCCATTATCTTGATTGGTGATCTTTAATTATCTGAGTTGATAGATCTGATCGTGACTAGAGTGCTTACTGACAGTCAGATGTTCTGGATGAAATTTTCTTTAAAAAGTACCTAGCAGTCTTATAATTCTCTTCATGTACAGTTTTGACATTTCCCCAGTTCACTTCATGTTTGTGAGGATCTATTTGTAATCATTCCAGTTACCACATGTCGATTTACGCCTAACCAGCATTTAAATAAAAATAAACAGAGTTGTCTATTTTGTGAGACACTTATTCCGATTCATTGCAATTTTTTTTGTACATCACGCTGCATTACATTTCGCTCACTACTACATCTCGTAGTCTGCATCCAATAGAAGAAAGTTGTTATTGCAAGTACGTGAGCAACTAATATTTCCAAAAATTTTCCAATGTTGTGTTTTGCGTTAAAAGGATTTGCAATAACAGCCCTGTTTGTGCGAAAGCGTCTATAAAAAACCAAATATGCTTTTGCAGACTAAATGAATTCACGCACTCGTTGACACAGACAGAAATGAAAGCATACAATCAAAGCGAAACAAAGTGGGGAAGTTACGCAAAAATAGGCTAGACAAGTAGTAAGCCAAGTAAGCATTCACACAACCACTCAAGTAAGAACAACCAATATACAAGCGAATAGTTAACAAGGTCGAAAGACGTGTGAACGACTCGAGATCAATGGATTAGGTACTTTGTCCACAGACTCAGACAAGCCCTGTGGGCTCAACATAAAGGTACCAACATTACAATATTCATGAGAAATTCATTATCCAATCAATGCCAGTTCATAATATAAAACAGCTAACTTCAAATTAAATAAACTCGTCATAAATCACTGATTAGAAGCAGATGGTAACCAATGTTTAGGCAGTCACTAGTTTCCAGACCTATTTCCAGCAGATCTAGAACAACGCTATGCTTAAGGAGAATTTAACACAGTTGTGCACCAATGACATTGAATGACAACACCAACTCCTTCCATTTCTCAAACAACACCCTCGATAACACTAACATATCATCAAATTAATCAAGTCCAAAAGTACTGATTTTGTATTGCGTTTCAACTGAGTAATTCAATCGACCCGTTTTTGCTGATAATCGACCTAAAATTATCAAATGCTTACACGGCTCCGACCAACAATCAATCAATTTCTGATCTGACATCAAGTCTTGATTTGATCACCTTCAGCTATCTTCCAACATCGTTTGACACCAACAGACATCAAGTGTTCAAGTAGGTGGTGGTTGAGCCTGTGTAACACATGTACTACTTCATTTAGTCAACTCATATTCATGTATCGATTGCTTAACATAAAAATAACCGTGTAAACGGAAAGCGATTCAGTTAAGTTCTATTCATCTGAATCAACAGATTTACCACTGGAATTATTCTTTTTCCTTTAATTCCATTGAAACTTATCGCTTGAAAAAAATGTGTGAACTATAAATCATTTTGTCGTTGCTTTAGTTTTACACAAATATTAAGAATACGATGTAGTTATTTGAATACAAAATTCAAAATTATAATTACATATCGAGATGTTTCAATTTGATTGACTAATACTGACAATCATCATGGTGTACGGTATTTCTCCACTAGTCAGATTTACACTTTATTCAAATTTTTTGAACCACTGAATTGAACATTACAATATCTGTCATTTAATAAACTGCACATTGTTTCAATGATAAGCGAACCGGATAAGAAAATATAAACAATTAGAACTTGAAAAGAAATATCACACGCGTAAAAAACCAGTTGTGGTACTACAACTACGAACCGCACATCCCAACCTACATGAAAAAAATTGAGTCAATCAAGAAAAGTTGTACATCGACGAATTAACCCTTCATCGCATAAGTATAATAAAATCAACCGAATCACATTTCATACAACTATATCAACACAACTATCTACATGATAGTTAGAAGCTATAGAGTAACAATGAACTAGACAAAATGTTGTGCAACAAAGTGAACAGTTTCATTAACGATGCCGTAATAATAATAATAATAATGCTTTAACTATGAAACAACACACAACGAAACACAATAACAAACAAATCACTTATAAAATATGTTAAGTGCAACGCATTTAACAACTCACAGAACTCGAATGATGTTTATCACCGATTTGTGTACTGGAAGAATTACTGTCTTCAGATGAATAGGTTACATCTGTATTTCTGGTCTTGTTTATTTTCTTAAAATAATTACTATTATTACTCTTATTTGAATGATGTGAATGCTTTGGATAAATTGAGGAATTGTGAGCATAACTTGAAAAATTTATCGGTTTTGAACGACCAGTTTGATGATTAACTCGAGAACTACAAAAAAAGGTCAACCAAAAATATAATCACTTGAATTTATTCATTTATGTGAAAGCTTTTTTCCAGACCTAAGGGTTGTTTGATGAAATACTCATATTTGATATAAGTAGATAACTATGTAATAAATTACACACTGATGATTCACTTGTTTTCACTTTCAAGACAATGACATTAAACGTAGTTTTCCGTTTCGGTCACATCAATCAAAGAAGACTACCTTTTAAATAGTGCATTTCATTAAACAAACAAGGATTTCGCTAAAATCACCATCGAAAACCTGAAAGCATTGAACGGTCGTTTCATCTTAGTACGAGACTCCTCAGCGATGCACATCCACGACCTCACAGTAGAGAGTCAAAATCAAGACCATCGATTTCACGTGCAGACGTCGAACCTTTAGATCACTGATTTCAATGAAACACAAAAATTTCCTCAACGATATTCTAATAAATTATTATTTATTTATAACTGTAGATGAGGATTTAATCGACATCATTACTAAATCAAAATCATTATTTATTCACACTGACCACCTGTTTGATTTGTATGAAGTTAAAATAAGTAGTAATTGGCAACAAATAAATAATAACTTTCTGTATGAACACATTTACAATATAGTAAAACTAACTGTTCATAATCATCAACTGTAACCCATTCGCTAGGTTACGAAATCAGTCTTTTAAATTTCATTTCATATCACCTGTTACTCGTATACTAATCAATCAAGTATTTGTCTACCATATCATACAACTTTAATCTACACCTTCTGAAAAACAACTAACGACAAAATCCGACGAACTAAATTGACGAAAATATGAAATACTTCGAACTAGCAACCTCACCAGTGGAATTCAAACCAACTAATCAATATATCAATGGTCCATGTCTATCATCAAACTTAACATAGCAGATATGGTTTCTATCACAATGTCTCAACACTCCCATTTAGAATTCGCATTATCTCGAATATATCTTAATACTGAGTGATCTTGTTTGCTGAAAAGTATTGTTTCACCGTCTTCAATCCTACTTCGTCTATAATAATAATAATAATAATAATAATAATAATAATAATAATAATAATAATAATAGTATTATTATTATTATCATCATTATTATTTTGTTATGAATACTTCGATAGTAAAGATGACAAGAATCGCAATAAAAAACCTCAGAACATACGGTGATCCGAATCTCGCAGATTGATCAATTCGTCCCAAATCATGACAATAAGTGGAAGCATTCAAAGAGTTCAAAATGACATTTCTACAAACATTTTCATCATTTTCAAATAAGCTGAGGGAAAAAAAACGGAAGAGAAAAATATTGAATCAATTGAAAAATACAACAGATTACAACACAAATCAGATTATCAAAGAGTATGGGAAATATTGTTGGTTAATTGATCAACTAGCATACTTAATTAGTAATCAGTGTCATGGTAATGCTCACCCATCTGAAATAGGTACATGGCACAAAAGGCCTTAATCAAAAGTAACTACTATATGTATAAAATGTGGACAGATGCTTTCATAAACATGCATGAATTTCAAGCAACATAATCGTTTTATCAAAGGAAAAAAAACAAATATACTTCATAAACAACAATTAAGTTTGAAGTTTCCGGAATATCAGTATGCACAAGTTTCACAAGAAACAAGAAACATCAACGTTTCCACAAAGTACGTGACTTTGTATCAGATAGTCGATAACAGTGGAAATATAATAACAGGTGGAAAAATACTCACTCCAACTTGGATTGATGAAATTTTGATTCATCGACATCTATCAACTACTTGTCATAAAGAACTGTCATTACATAATCAAGTGGATAGAAATTCAACTAAGATAATGTTCAAGGAAACATATTCTCCATTATACCAGAGAGTTTATTCATATCCCAGTTTCATTAGGATAAACTTCATGGAAGTAACAATAAAAACAGTACAAATGTCAAGACTATGTGACTGGAAATGGTAAATTGCGATACACGACAAAAATAACCTTTACTGAAGAAGAAATTACTATCAAACATAGATATGTACCATAACAGTCAGATCATTCATTCAATCAACAACTACCGAATAACAAATAATGATCAATGACCTAAATTTAAAAAAAGTACCATTATTCTTTCATTTTACCACAACAAACTATTTCAATCGACTGTCCAGTTAAGATACTTGGATTACTGCATAAAATAATGCATACATGATATAGTTTATGCAACATCATTTAATGAACAAATCACATCAAATCATGACATATATGCGTGTATGTATGTATATGGGATTGCGATAAATGCAGCAAGTTGATGAATTATGCAATAGAGAATTTCTTTTAAAAATTCCCTCTCTTCACTATGCATCAAGCAAATACAGCACAACTAGGGCTAACAATAGTCAGTACAAGATGACACTCATCCCATTCAGCGAAGAAGAAATTTCAGGAAAAAAGAATAACAAGCAAGTTGGACAGCTTATCAAGACACAAAGTATTGATTGTCAACTGACAAAGATATACATTTTATATGATTTATAGTCTGCAAATAAGTGACAAGAGTAAACTGGGATTAAGAAAATTACACGCAATACTCAGGTAAACAAATTTCATGACGATCTCAAATAACAAGGATAATTAATATCATGCTCAAAGTCTGATTGAATTCGCAAAGTAAAATAACGAATTGTTTTCGCAATAATACACAAATGCATGTATTAGTTAGATTGAGATTATTAGCACAACAATTTATTCGACCGATTAATTAAGTATGGTAAAACATCAAACAAACCAATCAAAAACACACAAAACTGATACGCAGTAAAACAAATTCATAAAGTACACAATTAGCAGAAACAAATCTAAAACAGGTTTAAATTATGTAACATTAATGCACATTAGGCAAGCTTATTGCTATTATTTCGGAGAAAAATTTTAACAGCATAATATACATTGAACATGCGAATTAACAAGCGAAATAATTGAGTAACAAATTGGGGAGAGAAAATTTCTTCCATTGATAAATAGGCAAGCGAGACATATAGTCAATAAAAAGAAACACACAGCATTCTACTTACTTTAATGGTGATGATTGTGAGAAAGTGTTATCATCACAAGGGTGTGTAGCTCTTAAAGGACGTGAACGAGATTCTTTACTTCTAATTTATACATAATAAACATTAGAATTGGAGGATATTAAAATATGAGGGAAAAAACAACCCAGAGAGAAAAATTCGTCAAACGAAAAAAACAATAACTCAAGAATACAAACAACTAATATCACTCGAAAATAATATCAAGTTATCATTTTTAAATTATTCAAAAACGCCTGTCATAAAATCATCAACAATAACAGCAACAGCAACAAAAAACGCACAAACCCAAAATAGTGCAACAAACGAAATTATGAAAAATCATATGATATTAATTAGCATACTACTTAAAGAAAAGTAGGTCGATTTGTTAGTGGATCAAAAACTTTAATAACTCAACAGTAACAAGATGCTCTCGGTAATTCCGAGAGCTTCACAAGATATTTCCATATCTTTTGAACTCATTAGGTAAGTTTAAGTTTACATATACAGAGCTTTAAGACACATTCCTATGTAAGAACATGAGGCAACAATTTATCTACACAAATCAACAGGATGTTTCAAGCAATCAATGATCACTTCACTAATGTGAACTTATGACTCCCGATTTTAAATACAAAACATTCCGTGATTAGGACTTCGAAAAGTGCTCCAATATCTTCCAATTATTGATTTGCAAGATAGCATTTCTCATGCCGTCAACTACGATTTTCAGTAGTATATTTAGGTAAATGTGTCAGTTCAGTAGAAAATGTTTTCTTCTGTAGACATGTATTTCTCCTAATTTTCGTGCATTTTCATAGATATACTGATGTGAGCATAAAACTATCAAGTCATATATCAATACATTTGGCTGATCCAAACATCAACTTCAGTCTGTTTCCTTACTAAGACTCTGTCTGAAAAACACAGTGAGCTCATTCTCTAATTCAATTCCTAGTCTAACCATTCTACATTCATTTCAGCTATCTCATTCTGCAACGTTAACTGATCAAAATTTATGCACATAGTGTGTTATTCAAATACTTTCATGTATTATTTACCTCTCAACTTTTTCCCTATTGCATTGATGTATTTCTCTCCAACAAAGATTGAAAACTAGAACAATTGAAAACCATAGAAACATTAAATTTAACTTGACACATGTGAATAAACAAAAATATTTCGTAAAGATTTGACACATCTAACGACTGTAAACAGTGCAAAATATACAAATCTAGTAAGAAAGTGTTATTAACACAATCTACTAATTACAATCACAAGTACTATATTGTGATACTCAAAATAAATGACCGTTGGTGCGTATTACACTAGCACAACAAACAAAACACAAGATCATTTGTTCGCATACAAGACAGCTAGACAGTGTTGTAAGATAGATTTTAAACCTGATAAGAAAACCAATAACGACAGGATGAGGTGTGATTCAAAAACCTTGTCACAAGCTGCTAACATTATTACTAAGGTTCATACAATCTGCATTATATCAAAGTTAAAAATGAAATAACCAGAAAAATTGCTAACCAACTACTACTATCACTATTGTATATATAATGCAAAATATAAAGTAATGTGTACAGTAGGAAAAAGCACTTAGCCGCTTTTATTAAAATGTATTAGAAAACTCTCACAGATGTTGATTAATAGAATCTGACAGGTAGACAAAAGGGATTATTGAAAACATAAAACGACTTATAACTTAATCATGAAAGCTCTCAGGCAAACCCATTTTGAGCATTATTTAGGCCACAATTAAAGCAAAAAGCATAATTAAGCCCTTATAAACCCTCAACATGAACCAACAATCCATGCACAAAATGAAATAATAATATAGAAACGGTAGACTAACCTGGCTGATGATAACGCCTTTCGATATAAAGGATTCAATCCAATATTTGGACGGATAAGTGGAGGCTCAGTTAAACGACCACTTGCAGCATTTGTTTCATTACAATTATCTACTACTTGACCACTTCCACCACAAGCACCACATGTTGTTGTCTTCAGACAAGAACCAGAGGTATCCTTTGAAATACAAGGAATTCGTGGTGAAAACAAAACACTTTCTCCGTGATTACTACCAAGGTGGACAGGAGCTCTTTGAACAGAATGAGAGTACAGAATTCGTTCTGTAGATGGATAGAAATATAAAGATGGTTCAAAAGGAACTTGAGGTCTTCTTTGATTACTATCAAATGCTGTATATACACGTGAACATTGTTGTCTTACTGGTCGAAGATGGACAGGTTCGTATGATATGTCCGGATTCGCTACAAAAGGTACTGAACCACCAAATTTGTTTGCTAGATTGTGTACAAATTTAGAATTGGAGTCCGTGTTCCATACGGATTTTTTAACAGGGATAGAATTCAAATGTTTTAAAGAGCCGTAGTTCTCGTGAATGTTTGTCACAGATCGAAGTGCACTACGACAAGAATCCTGTGCTTTACAAAGACTTGATGACCGATAACTTTTGTTGTGCGATTTCCAATGATCATCTCGTATAACTGATTTTGAAACAGAGGAAGTCGCTAATGGATTACGCTGCCTGGCAGATTTAGGCATTGATAATCGATTGTTCAGTTCGTGTCGCGAAGAATGCTCTGAAATGGAATTATCGCCAACAGAACTAGACGATACACTTGATGAAGTATGTAAAGCAACAGTAGGTGAATCTCCTGTAGAATATTCACTACTGACTGATGATATACTACTATTACCACTACTACTACTACTACAGGTATCAGCTTCATGTGGTCCATTTAGTTGACAAGTAGAATAACTTTTATTTGAACAACCCAAACCATTACCTACAAAATAAAACACCAATTGAAAACCAAACAATGAACCAAATAATCAATAACCAAAATAAAAAATGAATAAGGGAGAATTAATGCCTTTCACAAAGTATTTTAAACAGAGAAATAGATCACAGTGAGACATTCAAAGTAAATATTGTAACAAAAGATTTTAATTATTTATAATCCCTTAAGAAAATCGATGCAAACTAAACAATTTGCATCATCCTTAAACTACATAAACGGTTCACGGTAAAATAGATATTCACAGTTGCTTAATGATAAAAACAATATTAATATTACTACTGCTACCAGTAATAATAACGACAAAGATTATTCATTTTATGGGATAAGTAGTAGTAGTAGGGTGGATACCTACTCGCAATGTGTTAGGATATTCATCCAATATCCTAAGAGGATTATTGGTCAAATCCTATTGGTCGATTTCTATTGATCAAAATTATGGTCGTTTTAACTGTCGAAGTCAAATACTTCAATGTTGTATCTTATTAGTCATCCGGACTGTCAATGTCATTTCAAATGTTACTTCCTATCGGTCGTCTTAACTGTCAATGCCACAGGATTCGATGCTGTTTCCTATTCGACCAAAATGTATAAATACGCATTGTCCGTAACGTTTTATGACCACAACCACGACCAGGGCTCGGGCCCGGATCCCTAGTCCGGGATCCTGATTCTCTTCTGGATTCGGACCTCGTACTTTCTGGATGCTTGTAGAATGTGACACACATTCACGAGAATTACGGCTCTTTAAAACATTTGAATTCTATCCCTGTTAAAAAATCCGTATGGAACACGGACTCCAATTCTGAATTTGTACACAATCTAGCAAACAAATTTGGTGGTTCAGTACCTTTTGTTGCGAATCCGGCCATATCATACGAACCTGTCCATCTTCGACCAGTAAGACAACAATGTTCACGTGTATATACAGCATTTGATAGTAATCAAAGAAGACCTCAAGTTCCTTTTGAACCATCTTTATATTTCTATCCATCTACAGAACGAATTCTGTACTCTCATTCTGTTCAAAGAGCTCCTGTCCACCTTGGTAGTAATCACGGAGAAAGTGTTTTGTTTTCACCACGAATTCCTTGTATTTCAAAGGATACCTCTGGTTCTTGTCTGAAGACAACAACATGTGGTGCTTGTGGTGGAAGTGGTCAAGTAGTAGATAATTGTAATGAAACAAATGCTGCAAGTGGTCGTTTAACTGAGCCTCCACTTATCCGTCCAAATATTGGATTGAATCCTTTATATCGAAAGGCGTTATCATCAGCCAGGTTAGTCTACAGTTTCTATATTATTATTTCATATTCTGCATGGATTGTTGGTTCATGTTGAGGGTTTATAAGGGCTTAATTATGCTTTTTGCTTTAATTGTGGCCCAAATAATGCTAGATTAGTTGGTCATCTCAAAATAGGTTTGCCTGAAAGCTTTCATGATTAAGTTATAAGTCGTTTTATGTTTTCAATAATCCCTTTTTGTCTACCTGTCAGATTCTATTAATCAACATCTGTGAGAGTTTTCTAATACATTTTAATAAAAGCGGCTAAGTTCTTGTTCCTACTGTACACATTACTTTATATTTTGCATTATATATACAATAGTGATAGTAGTAGTTGGTTAGCAATTTTTCTGGTTATTTCATTTTTAACTTTGATATAATGCAGATTGTATGAACCTTAGTAATAATGTTAGCAGCTTGTGACAAGGTTTTTGAATCGCACCCCATCCTGTCATTATTGGTTTTCTTATCAGGTTTAAAATCTATCTTACAACACTGTCTAGCTGTCTTGTATGCGAACAAATGATGTTTTGTTTTGTGTGTTGTTCTAGTGTAATACTCACCACCGGTCATTTATTTTGAGTAGCGCAATATAGTACTTGTGATTGTAATTAGTAGATTGTGTTAATAGCACTTTCTTATCAGATTTGTATATTTTGCACTGTTTACAGTCGTTAGATGTGTCTAATCTTTACGAAATATTTTTATTTATTCACATGTGTCAAGTTAAATTTAATGTTTCTATGGTTTTCAATTGTTCTAGTTTTCAATCTTTGTTGGAGAGAAATACATCGATGCAATAGGGAAAAAGTTGAGAGGTAAATAATACATGAAAGTATTTGAATAACACACTATGTGCATAAATTTTGATCAGTTAACGTTGCAGAATGAGATAGCTGAAATCGATGGAGAATAGTTAGACTAGGAATTGAATTAGAGAATGAGCTCACTGTGTTTTTCAGACAGAGTCTTAGTATGGAAACAGACTGATGTTGATGTTTGGATCAGCCATTTTCTATTGAACTGACACATCTACCTAAATATACTACTGAAAATCGTAGTTGACGGCATGAGAAATGCTATCTTGCAAATCAATAATTGGAAGATATTGGAGCACTTTTCGAAGTCCTAATCACGGAATATTTGGTATTTAAAATAGTGTGTCATAAGTTCACATTAGTGAAGTGATCATTGATTGCTTGAAACATCCTACTGATTTTCGTAGATAAGTTTTTACCTCATGTTCTTACATAGGAATGTGTTTTAAAGCTCTATATATAAACCTTAACCTACCTAATGAGTTCAAAAGATATAGAAATATCTTGCGAAGCTCTCGGAATTACCGAGAACATCTTGTTACTGTTGAGTTATTAAAGTTTTTGATTCACTGACAAATCGACCCAGTTTTCTTTAAGTAGTATGCTAATTAATATCATATGATTTTTCACAATTTCATTTGTTGCACTATTTCAGGTTTGTGTGTTTTTTGTTGCTGTTGCTGTTATTGTTGATGATTTTATGACAGGCGTTTTTGAATAATTTAAAAATGATAACTTGATATTATTTTCGAGTGATATTAGTTGTTTGTATTCTTGAGTTATTGTTTTTTTCGTTTGACGAATTTTTCTCTCTGGGTTGTTTTTTCCCTCATATCATAATATCCAATTCTAATGTTTATTATGTATAAATTAGAAGTAAAGAATCTCGTTCACGTCCTTTAAGAGCTACACACCCTTGTGATGATAACACTTTCTCACAATCATCACCATTAAAGTAAGTAGAATGCTGTGTGTTTCTTTTTATTGACTATATGTCTCGCTTGCCTATTTATCAATGGAAGAAATTTTCTCTCCCCAATTTGTTACTCAATTATTTCGCTTGTTAATTCGCATGTTCAATGTATATTATGCTGTTAAAATTTTTCTCCGAAATAATAGCAATAAGCTTGCATAATGTGCATTAATGTTACATGATTTAAACCTGTTTTAGATTTGTTTCTGCTAATTGTGTACTTTGTGAATTGTTTTTACTGCGTATCAGTTTTGTGTGTTTTTGATTGGTTTGTTTGATGTTTTACCATCCTTAATTAATCGATCGAATAAATTGTTGTTGTTTTTTTCGATTACTTGTGCTAATAATCTCAATCTAACTAATACATGCATTTGTGTATTATTGCGAAAACAATTCGTTATTTTACTTTGCGAATTCAATCAGACTTTGAGCATGATATTAATTATCCTTGTTATTTGAGATCGTCATGAAATTTGTTTACCTGAGTATTGCGTGTAATTTTCTTAATCCCAGTTTACTCTTGTCACTTATTTGCAGACTATAAATGATATAAAATGTATATCTTTGTCAGTTGACAATCAATACTTTGTGTCTTGATAAGCTGTCCAACTTGCTTGTTATTCTTTTTTCCTGAAATTTCTTCTTCGCTGAATGGGATGAGTGTCATCTTGTACTGACTGATATTAGCAGTAGTTGTGCTGTATTTGCTTGATGCATAGTGAAGAGAGGGAATTTTTAAAAGAAATTCTCTATTGCATAATTCATCAACTTGCTGCATTTATCGCAATCGCATATACATACATACTCATATATGTCATGATTTGATGTGATTTGTTCATTAAATGATGTTGCATAAACTATATCATGTATGCATTATTTTATGCAGTAATCCAAGTATCTTAACTGGACAGTCGATTGAAATAGTTTGTTGTGGTAAAATGAAAGAATAATGGCACTTTTTTTTAATTTAGGGCATTGATCCTTGTTTGTTATTCGGTAGTTGTTGATTGAATGAATGATCTGACTGTTATAGTACATATCTATGTTAATAGTAATTTCTTCTTCAGTGAAGGTTATTTTTGTCGTGTAACGCAATTTACCATTTCCAGTCACATAGTCTTGACATTTGTACTGTTTTTATTGTTACTTCTATGGAGTTTATCCTAATGAAACTGGGATATGAATAAACTCTCTGGTATAATGGAGAATATGTTTCCTTGAACATATCTTAGTTGAATTTCTATCCACTTGATTATATAATGACAGTTCTTTATGACAAGTAGTTGATAGATGTCGATGAATCAAAATTTCATCAATCCAAGTTGGAGTGAGTATTAACCCACCTGTTATTATATTTCCACTGTTAACGACTATCTGATACAAAGTCACGTACTTTGTGGAAACGTTGATGTTTCTTGTTTCTTGTGAAACTTGTGCATACTGATATTCCGAAAACTTAATTGTTGTTTATGAAGTATATTTGTTTTTTTCCTTTGATAAAACGATCATGTTGCTTGAAATTCATGCATGTTTATGAAAGCATCTGTCCACATTTTATACATATAGTAGCTACTTTTGAATGAGGCCTTTTGTGCCATGTACCTATTTCAGATGATTGAGCATTACCATCACACTGATTACTAATAATTAAGTAGGCTAACTTGTAAATTAACCAACAATATTTCCCATACCGTTTGATAATCTGATTTGTGTTGTAATCTGTTGTATTTTTCAATTGATTCAATATTTTTCTCTTCCGTTTTTTTTCCCACAGCTTATTTGAAAATGATGAAAATGTTTGTAGAAATGTCATTTTGAACTCTGTGAATGCTTCTACTTATTATCGTGATTTGGGACGAATTGATCAATCTGCGAGATTTGGATCACCGTATGTTTTTATTGCTGTTGTTATCGTCTTTACTATCGAAGTATTCATAACAGAATAACCATAATAATAATAATTATTATTATAGACGAAGTAGGATTAAAGACGGTGAAACAATACTTTTCAGCAAACGAGATCACTGAGTATTAATATATATTCGAGATAATGCGAATTCTAAATGGGAGTGTTGAGACATTGTGATAGAAACCATATCTGTTATGTTAAGTTTGATGATAGACATGGACCATTGATATATTGATTAGTTGGTTTGACTTCCACTGGTGAGGTTGCTGGTTCGAAGCATTTCATATTTTCGTCAGTTTAGTTAGTCGAATTATGTCGTTAGTTGTTTATCAGCAGGTGTAGATTAAAGTTGTATGATATGGTAGACAAATACTTGATTGATTAGTATACGAGTAACGGGTGATATGTAACGAAGTTTAAAAGAGTGATTTCATAACCTAGCGAATGGGTTACAGTTGATGATTACGAATAGGTTATTTTACGATATTGTAAATGTGTTCATACAGAAAGTTATTATTTATTTGTTGCCAAGTACTACTTATTTTAACTTCATACAAATCAAACAGATGGTTAGTGTGAATGAATAATTTCGATTTAGTAATGACGTCGATTAAATCCTCATCTACAGTTATAAATAAATAATAATTTATTAGAATATCGTTGAGGATATTGTTGTGTTTCATTGAAATCAGTTATCTAAAGGTTCGACGTCTGCACGTGAGATCGATAGTCTTAATTTTGACTCTCTCCTGTGAGGTCGTGGATGTGCATCGCTGAGGAGTCTCGTACTAAGATGAAACGACCGTTCAATGCTTTCAGGTTCTCGATGGTGATTTTAGCGAAATCCTTGTTTGTTTAATGAAATGCACTATTTAAAAGGTAGTCTTCTTTGATTGATGTGACCGAAACGGAAAACTACGTTTAATGTCATTGTCTTGAAAGTGAAAACAAGTGAATCATCAGTGTGTAATTTATTACATAGTTATCTACTTATATCAAATATGAGTATTTCATCAAACAATTTTTATGTCTGTGAAAAAGCTTTCACATAAATGAATAAATTCAAGTGATTATATTTTTGGTTGACTTTTTTTTGTAGTTCTCGAGTTAATCATCAAACTGGTCGTTCAAAACCGATAAATTTTTCAAGTTATGCTCACAATTCCTCAATTTATCCAAAGCATTCACATCATTCAAATAAGAGTAATAATAGTAATTATTTTAAGAAAATAAATAAGACCAGAAATACCGATGTAACGTATTCATCTGAAGACAGTAATTCTTCCAGTACACAAATCGGTGATAAACATCATTCGAGTACTGTGAGTTGTTAAATGCGTTGCACTTAACATATTTTATAAGTGATTTGTTTGTTATTGTGTTTCGTTGTGTGTTGTTTCATAGTTAAAGCATTATTATTATTATTATTACGGCATCGTTAATGAAACTGTTCACTTTGTTGCACAACATTTTGTCTAGTTCATTGTTACTCTATAGCTTCTAACTATCATGTAGATAGTTGTGTTGATATGGTTGTATGAAATGTGATTCGGTTGATTTTATTATACTTATGCGATGAAGGATTAGTTCGTCGATGTACAACTTTTCTTGATTGACTCAATTTTTTTCATGTAGGTTGGGATGTGCGATTCGTAGTTGTAGTACCACAACTGTTTTTTTTTGTGTATTTCTTTTCAAGTTCTAATTGTTTATATTTTCTTATCCGGTTCGCTTATCATTGAAACAATGTGCAGTTTATTAAATGACAGATATTGTAATGTTCAATTCAGTGGTTCAAAAAATTCGATTAAAGTGTAAATCTGTGACTAATGCAGCCGGTACTCCATGATGGTTGTCAGTATTAGTCAATCAAATTGAAACATCTCGATATGTAATTATAATTTTGAATTTTGTACTCAATTAACTACAGCGTATTCTTAATATTTGTATAAAACTAAAGCAACGTCGGAATGATTTATAGTTCATACATTTTGTTCAAGCGATAAGTTTCAATGGAATTAAAAGAAAAAGAATAATTCCAGTGGTAAATCTGTTGATTCAGATGAATAGAATTTTACTGAATCGCTTTCCGTTTACACGGTTATTTTTATGTCAAGCAATCAATACATAAATATGAATTGACTAAATGAATTAGCCCATGTGTTACACAGGCCGAACCACCACCTACCTGAACACTTGATGTCTGTTGGTGTCAAACGAAGTTGGAAGATAGCTGAAGGTGATCAAACCGATACTTGATATCAGATCAAAAATTGATTGATTGTTGGTCGGAGCCGTGTCAGCATTTCATAGTTTTAGGTTCGACAATAAAAACGGGTCGATTTAATTACTCAGTTGAAATGCAATATAAAATCAGTACTTTTGGACTTGATTAATTTCATGGTATGTTTGTGTTATCGAGGATGTTGTTTGCGAAATGGAAGGTGTTGGTGTTGTAATTCAATATCGTTAGTGGGCAACTGTGTTAAATTTTCCTTAAGCATAACTTTGGTCTAGATCTGCTGGAAATAGGTCTGGAAACTAGTGACTGCCTAAACATTGGTTACCATCTGCTTCTAATCAGTGATTCGTGATGAGTTTATTTAATTTGAAGTTAGCTGTTTTATATTATGAACTGGCATTGATTGGTTAATGAATTTCTCATGAATATTGTAATGTTGGTTCCTTTATGTTGAGCCCTCAGGGCTTGTCTGAGTCTGTGGACAAAGTAATTAATCCATTCTTGCCGAGTCGTTCACACGTCTTTCGACCTTGTTAATTATTCGCTTGTATATTGGTTGTTCTTACTTGATTGGTTGTGTGAATGCTTGCTTGCCTATTTTTGCGTAACTTCCCCACTTCATTTCGCTTTGATTGTATACGTTCATGTCTGTCTGTGTCAATGAGTGCGTGAATTCATTTAGTCCGCAAAAGCATATTTGGTTTTTTATAGACGCTTTCGCACAAACAGGGCTGTTATTGCAAATCCTTTTAACGCAAAACACAACATTGGAAAATTTTTGGAAATATTAGTTGCTCACGTACTTGCAATAACAACTTTCTTCTATTGGATGCAGACTACGAGATGTAGTAGTGAGCGAAATGTAATGCAGCGTGATGTACAAAAAAAATTGCAATGAATCGGAATAAGTGTCTCACAAAATAGACAACTCTGTTTATTTTTATTTAAATGCTGGTTAGGCGTAAATCGACTTGAGATTAATTAAGGTCAAGAAATGTTTTCGATATGAAAGAATTTCGAAATATGGAAATGTTGTTTATAAATCGAACTTTAATTTCTATTTTTTCAAAGAGCTCTTATGGAGTTTATGAAATGAGATATGCTTTGGGACACAATGAATAATTTATCTGTTCTTGAGATTAATGTATATTGTTCAATAAAATGATTTAAATTATAAGGCGAGAGAAGAATTTCATTTCATTATGATTTGTTTTGTTTGGGAATTTGTCCATAATTGTTGATTATTTCTTTCTTCGAAAAATTTATTTATAGGAAGGAAGACGTTATGATTATTCGAGGCAGCAGTCGAAGGGCTTTCGAAAATCATCATCATCCACATTGTTCCCAGCTTCATCAGCGTTACAAGAAATCTTAGAAGCAGCTTCATCAACCAGTCGATTAGCACAGAAACTTCGTTGTAGCTTAGAAGATTTATGTAAAACTGAATTGAAATAAGAGAATTTCTTTGTTGTACACTTTGAACCATATAGTGTATAGTTGTATATAATATGTGTTGGTATTCTTTGTTCATGAAACTTTATTGATTAATCCTCCTTCATAATTTCACTGAATGCACATTCAGTTTACTATGTGCATACCGTATGTAGATAATAGGATAATGTGATAAAGGATGTTATCTTTTTTTGTGTATGTGTACTGTCTATGATCAGGATTGTCACTTTACGTTTTCAGCTTGATCCCCTTAGTTTTTGTTTATACTTATACGTATATCGTACGTGCTAGTTTTCATCAGGAGATATCTTGGCTGATTAAGAATAATGTAACCAATATTGAATTGAGTTGTGTTTCTTTCTATCTTAGTAAAACAAACAATTGCATTCTTTATAAATATGTTGTTTCTTGTAAATAATGTCAATAATGAATTATGTATTTTTCTTATTTCCCTGATTAATATTACTATCTTAATTATATTGATTTTCTATTCACTGTATTATTTTCAATTTCTTACATTCTTCGTGTTTTTATCATGTTTTTCTTCACTACCTTGAAAGTATACTTATGTCAAATGATGTCATGTTGTAATGAGGATGTGTATTAATTTACTACAATCAACTTTATAATCATTTGCACGCATAGACCACTGTTGTACTTTACTACTTTCTTTAAGCATCTCAACTGTATTACGAATTTTTATTTTATTTACTAAAAAAAATACCTATTTCCTTTAGATTTTCACTATATGACGACAGTTAATAACTTGTTCTCTTCTCCTTGTTTTATTCAGATTGATTTATTATTTTTCCTTTTAACAGGTCATTACATATTGCATCATCAGAAGAATTTCTCTTCCCTATTTTCTTATTTATTTAAATTAGTTATCTATTCGTATGTTTTGTTTTTTCTTATATACATGATGTTTAGTTTGTGTGTTGGTTTTTTAAACTGTTTGATTTATTGGCATTGTGTTTTTCCATCATTGTTACGTATTTCCCCTTCGTTAATAAATTTTAAATGCAATGCTAATTCTTGTGGCGCAGCTGCTTGATCACCTTTCCAATAGTTATTCACACTAATTCAGCATCCATTCGATCCTCTAGTTTTTGGAGCTGATTACTGAGTGCTATCTGGAATTCGTCGATTTTGTCAGTATCTTGTACAAAGTGTTAAACTTTTGAAACGCTGTTTGTCTAGCTATGTATTGCTTCCTTGCCTTCAGTCCCACTTTTCCACCATCAAGTTGCTACCTGAAATTATATTAACTCCTCTTTCTCCCCACGTCTTCTATCGTATTGCTGAACGCCTTATTGATGCATATGTGATCGATCTGGTTCCCACTATTCTGGTCAAGCGAAACCCATATATATTTCGGTATGCGTTTGTGCGGGAATATGATACCTATTAGTCTCTCAGTCTATGTCATTCCGTCATATTTTTATATCCGATATTGTGTATTCCAACTTTGCCGTTTAAGTCCCCTATAAAGCTGACGTTCATCGTAATCTCATACTCTTTCTGAAGATTACTTGGAGGATTCTCGGTTCGTAAGATGCACATCTTCCAAGTGTGGTTTAGACAGCACCAATAAGACTTCTTGAATTTGAGAGGCACTTTCGCTTTCGTGGTCAGAGTACTGAAGCAACTCTCTCAGAGGCAATCTTTCATTTCCGATTTCTGTTTGAAATTCCGCTTTAACCATGAAATTTTATGACTCTCGAATATAAAGACCGCAATTTCGAACGAGAAGTTGGCAGATATTGGATTTCTGTTGCATCTCGCCAACGTTAGTGAAGGAGAACACTGGATTATTTAGTCATTACATTGAGTTTCCAATTAATTCGCGCTCATGTCGTCCTGTCTGGAAAATCTTATTCTGTGCATATATATAAACAACTACTAATATTGTGTCAGTTCACTTTTTACTGTACAGAAGGATGACGATATGGTCACTATGCCAAAGTGTGGCCTTTATAAGGCTAGCTTCTTTATGTTGGATATTTTATTCTATTACCAGCCTGAATTTATTGCTAAACACGAAATACTCAGGAAGGCCAAAATTACTACAGGTGTAGAATATAAATGTAAGAACTACCACACAAGACTTACATCGGCAACCTCAACAATAATGTTCGGATAATTGAAGGCAGGCATCGAAAGGAATAATTTCGGTCTATACAAATATCGTGGTTTAAATACTCCGCCTTCAGTCCTTAGGTTTCTGCCGTTTTTAAGCCCGGATAAGTGAGGAATGATCAGCATGGGGTTTGACAGTTTTTAAGTTTAAAGTAATAAAATATATGCTCATCTTTTGGTTGCCAGATGATCATCTCATCTACACTACAGATGATGCAAGATATCAACGGAAATTGCAATTTGATCCACGATAAATTGATCAACTATCCCGATTGCTCCTACTCTTATAATCAGTATGAGTGATTACACAAACTGTTGCTGAAACATCGCTGCATTTAATGGCACAAAAGAGCTTCACGGACATGCGTGTTTTGTTGCTTTGTGCAGCATCATTAATTAGGATTGTCGTTTAGGTACTCCATGCCGTTTAATGAAATTTCAGAAAGAAAACCAGTGACTTAAGAAACTGAACAAAAAGAAGAAAAGTCACTAATCATGACAAACATTGCGTGCGGTTAAGTAAGTCCCCTTACATTAACCCATAAAAGTTGACTGAACTAATTTTTCTCTAATCAATGGCATTACACAATCCTTATATTTTTTACTAGTCCTTTTAAAGACGAACAGAGGATCTGTTGGTCAGTGGAGTTGAATATAGCCTAAAGATCAGGAATAACCTCGGTGAGAATTCCTACATCAAAACTTGTCGAATGAATATTCGGCCAATATCCATAACTGTAACTAGACGGACTGTATTTAGTTTTTTCAAATAAACTTGATTATTGTTTTAGAAACGATACATTCAGAATGTCCAGCAATATGTTTATTTTATGAAATGTGATGTGTCAAAATGGTTCCACTTTGATGATCATGAGTGGATTCCAGTCCATGTTTATGAGCAAGAATAACTCTGACTGGTGCTCTTCTGTGGTTACTGCAGGTCCAGAACAAAAAAAGGTGGAGCGTTAGTCGTCTGATCAGCGACCGTATACTTTCGAAAACCAACTGACTAGAAAATGCTCACCAGAAAATACTTAACTCTACACTTGGAGTTGGAAGGTTTAGAAGAGTTTTTACGCCTCATGAAAAAAGCTGAGTTTCATCGGAAGTCACGAGGCTGATTCCACTTCTCACAAATAGAGCAAAAACAATATGAGCACATGTAATACTTTCACAAATTGGGAGACCGGCGAAAACATTCAAGTTACTTTGGATTTGGAAAGATACAACTTGGTGGTAGTTGGAATCATTTAAACATATTGGATACAGGCTAAGCTAAAATGAATGAATGTTGTACTCAGGCTATTAAGAAGAAAATGCCTCATCCTCACTATGAGTTGCCCTGAAGCTATCCGGAGAAGCATAAAAAAGACTGGGAGAAAGAAAGGAATGCAATGAGAAATACACACATTTTAATGCCTTCAAGAAAATTGTTATAGGTCATGCGATCTTGCTAGACAGACTCATGAATAAAGTAACACTATTTTCATCAGATCTTACCGAGCTAATTTTATGAAGAGAACGTCATTGGTGTAGTGGAAATATTGATTATCGTAACCATATGTAACAGCGATTGTTTTACTGTACCCCTTTGTTTATCTGTAACAAAAACATACATTCCCCTGTTCGTTGTGACCTTGGACTTGCTCACGTGCACACGGTAGTCTCGTCTGTAAACTTTGGCACGATCTTGGTAATATTTCGATACCACGAGGTCGTCAAAATATATATCTTAACTTCAATCACAGCTGTCCTTCTGATATCTGACGTACAGAGGGGTTTAACTTGATAATTGGCCTAATAATGGCGCAACCCACAATAAGATCCCAATACACAGAACCACACAGAATCACACCTGCATCAGTAAAAAGTTCAGAGGAATCGAGGAGGATGTAGGAACAAAGGAAGAGGCTGACATAGATAAACATCATCATTTTGTGGTGGCCATGAATAAAAGTGAGAATAAAGAATCATTGAGCAACTAGCCGGATAGTATCACACTATTTGATACGGCGTTTCCTCAAGATACTGACAAATTCAACGAATTAAAGATCGCTCTCTGAAACAAGTTCCATGTCTTTAACTTCCTGCTCAACGAAGAAGAAACTACCATTCAACCTACTACAACCAAATCACACTTGACAGAAAATCTTTGGAAGATGTAAAAACCTTTACATATCCGAGCAGCCTCACTAAAATGCGGGGTGCTTTTGATGCAGATGTGAAGGAAAGCAGTGCGAGGAAGCATTTTTTAACTGAAGAACGTCTGAAACGCAAAATAACTGTCGTCCTACATCAGAGTCAAAGTTTTCAGTACAAGTGTCGAGACAGTTCCACGGTATGAGGCAGAAACGTGAGGAACCACGAAAGGCCACCGTCCGGAAGATACAGTTATTTATTAACAGTTGTCCAAGCATGATGCTTCAAACCCATTGACCAAACACCATCAGCAAAGAGTCACTGTAGGAGTGAATAAAATAGATTCCAGCTTAGGATAAAGTTAGGAAAAGGCTCTAGAGGTGGAAAGGTCAGACAGTTTGGAGATCTCATTACTGCGCCACGAGGCAAGCCCTAAATCGGAACTCCCAGGTCATAGGAAGATCGGTAGACTAACTGGCACCGTGGGCCGAAAACTTGGGATGGATGCTAAAAGAATAAATCGCGAATGATCAGAACTGGAAGGGAAGGTTCAGGAGAAACTTTTTCTGAGAATAGTGGTCTGTAGGCTTTGCCTTATTAGAAATAAGAACGAATTTTGTGAATCAGCGATCTTGGCTTCAAAGGTTGAGTTTGTTGTTGCCCCTACATTTCTTGTTTTTAATGCTGTATAATATGGATATTATGAAATTTATCGACCAACCATT